CCACCGCCCCGACTGACCCAGGCTGGCCCTGTCTCGCTGACTTGTCTGGAATAACCCTTGTTGCTGCTCACTTGTCATTTCTTTTTGTCTGGTTTTTTCCTCCCATCACCCCGTCACCCTTTCATTTAATATACATATCGCGACAGACACATACTTCGTCCTGTTTCTTTGCTTTACTTCGCTTCCCTCTTTTCCCTTTTTCACTTGCGTCGTTCATTTACGTTCCTTTCTTTTGTATTTGTTTGTCAGCTTGCTTGTCTTTGTTTTCCTGTCATTCTCATCCTATTTGATGAGGTGATGAACGTGAGTTTGGGCAAAAACACACAAACGACCATATTTTCTTCTGTTTCGATTATTGAACGAGTACCTTGACATCCCCCGACTACGATTTTTAGACCTCTCACGATCTTCTCTCATTTTCTTCAACTTTCATTCTATTCTCTACGGAATACTCCGTATTTTATCGCATTTCCATATTGTCTTCTATCTGAACATTCACGCCCGCCCAAATACAGGCCTTAAGTCGCGAATTTGGGGACCCTTTTCCAAACTCAGCCGTGGTTCCGGTTCCCAGCCACCGCATTTTCTAACACTCTATCTGCCCTTCGCATTTTTAACCTGCACGAACACACGGCACCCTTTTCTCGTGCATTCAGGGACCCCATTTAGCCGCTACGCTCCTTCATTCACCCTCAATCGCGATCTCCGCTCAACGGCTTCATTTCCTTACCAGCCGCGTGGACAATCTTGGATTTGGTCTTCAGTGGCGTTGTATTCTCCCTTTCTTCTCTTCAAGCCATCGTTCCCTTGTTTTTTGTTATATTTGTGTTTTTCTTTCGACCGACGATCGATCCACCACTTCCTTTTCTGCACACGGCGTCTGTTTAAACACTTACCTCGCACCGCCTCCCCTTGCGTTACTGTTCGCTTCATAGCGATCCAAGACACCGATTCGCATAGTTTTATCGAACCTACTCATGCAACACGCGCCCAAACGCCAAAACTTGTGCTAGACGGGGCCTTTCCTGCACAAGACACGCGATCATGCCTACTCCGTTCTCCGGTCTGTCAGGCTTCGCTGCCGGGCCGAGAACACCAGAGCCTACCGCTTCGTCCTTCCCTCCAGACGTCATCGACGTGCAGCCACCTTCTCCGCCGCGCCCACGGTTGCGTCTGAAACGCCGTGCAGTCCCTCACCTTTCCGCGCCCACGCAAAATTTCTTGGCTTCCGTCGCAGCAGCCGACGTGCCTATCCCGAGTATCGAGATCCCCGACCAAGACGACCATGATCTTCCCAGCATTATGCAACCTCAGCGACAGCCGCAAGAACAACAGCGCACCCCAGGCCTGTTTCCGACTGATGGCATAGACAGCAATTTGCTCAGCGTTTGTGGCCGCAGCACATTCTCTCCTCCTAAGACACCAGCACCAAGCGCCGTGCCATCAGCATCACCGTCGCACTACCCTAATTGGCGCACGGGTTCTGTCTTCAGCAGTTCTACCGAATCCAGCCCCGATCCCGAATGCGAATCTTCTAGCCGGCCATCAACGGCACGCTCTACTCAAACGAGCTCGTCCTCATTGTTTACCCGGTTCTCCCAACTGTCTGACGATGAACATTGTATTAGCCCGGAGGAAGAGACCTCTAGCACGTCCAAAGTCAGTCTCGGTGACCACGTGAACGAGCTTCGCCGGAATTCTGCTTCCGGGGGCTCATTCAGCAATTATACGGATTATAGCAACGACGACAGTACGGCATCCGGCCAAAAGCGCCATGCGAGAAAAGCTGCCTGGACCAACGCCATGAGCTCGCATCTTTGGGCAACCTACATCCTGTACCTGCAGGATCCCAAGGTCACACCATTCCGGATTGGCAAGAGCTGTATTCCGCCTCATGGCGTTCTTGTGCGTGTAGCCCGTGAAGCGAAGAGGAGTTGGAAAGGCGCAAAAGCTCTTGCCAAGATGTCTGCCAGCAGCGCCAACTCTACGAGAAACTCTGCCGCTGCTTCCTTGACCGTACCTGCATCTGTTCCTGCAGCCACCACACAAACTAGCGACAGCAGCGCACAGCCTGACGGCTCTGCTAGCAAAAGTGGAAGCAGCACGCCCACCGCCGCTGAAAGCAAGGCAAGCGGCACGTTTATGGAGTGGCCGTTTACCAACGCCGCCACCCGCTCCCACCTGCGTGAACTCTGCCGGAAAAAGGCAGCTACGCCTGGCGGTGGCGCTCGTGGCTTGCAGTACATGTCTCGCAGCCCGACCCCTCTCACGCAAAGTGCCGCTACCCGTCGTCGTGATATGCGTGTGACACCTGGCCTTTCTGGGTCCTCCTCCACATTTGCAACCCATGACATGATCAAGTCACTCGCCCTCAGCGCCTCGGAGACGATGCTGCCGCACGGTCCTCTGGCTCAGCTGACACGCTCTGGCTCTGATCCATCTAACGGTCTCAATACAGCCCCGCCATTAAACCTTGACGGCACTCTGGCATCTTTGACCGGCCCCGCCGACTTTGCTTCTGTTGCACTTGCACCTGCTACTCATTCTCCGGACTTTTCAGGCCGCCTCGCTTCTGCGATCGAGACCGAGGAGCCGTCATTTGCTGAGCGACGCCGCCTTGGCTCCCCCTTCACGGCACGGAGCTATGGGCCGAGCTCATCCAGTTCTCTTGCTGCCGTACTCGGCCTTTCTACCTCAAACTCTCGTCAGCCGCACACGGTTGGTCCGCGCCGCTCTTTGCAGTCGCCGGTTCGCCTTAGTCGGTCTGGCACTCAAAAGCGCCGCACCAAGCATCTTAGCCAAGACCTTAGAAGGCGTCCTGGCCTGGCCTCCGATTTCTTCACAGAGCCGTCTGCAGACCTCGCAGCTGGTTTGCCCGGAATTGAGTGCCGCCATGATGGTTTCAGCTCGTCGGGCGCAACGCACAACGAAAAGCTTTTCATCCCTAGAACGGGGACTGTACCGGCCCTGACATCCTCTTCTTCAGCACCTCAGCTCGCTACAACGTCCTCAAATTCTCAATCACTCGATGAGTTTGCTTCGGAGTCGCAGCCGCAGCAACAGCAAATCTCTTCGCCCTTGGTTCGGAGACCCGATATGCCTGGCCTTCTTGACGCTGCGCCACTGCAACCCCTAGCACGGCTGGGGTCGCCGTTCTCATCGCTGCCTGGAAACAATACAAGCTTTAGCTTTCCCAACCGCTTCTCGCAACCTACCGATCTCGATATTTCGACTGTGGGCCGGCCGTTTGCGACCGTGCAGCGTTCCCAGACGAAGCCTGTCCCTGCTCGCACTAACCTGGCTTCTCGACTGGCATACATTGACCAGCGCCTACGTGAGCTGAACAACCGGAACGACAACCAGCATCGCCGGCCGGATTCGTCTTCCTAAACGCCCTTGGGCCATTCTTCTTGGTTGGATATCCGATGTATCCCTGTCTTTTTATTGGTTTACGACTGCGACTTTTCATTACTCATCCCATGGGCCATTTTGTCTTTCCCTTCCCGTTTCATCATTGTACAACTGATGGGCATGGCGAAGCGTGTTTACTTGTTACCTTTTTTTTTTTTTTTTTTTTTTTTTTTTTTTTTTTTTGCCTTTTTCTCATTGCCTTGTTACTCGGATGTTACGATTGCCTTGTGTTTCGATTTACGGCCGGGTTCTTTGATACGAAAAACTTACGAACAAACGACATGACGACCAGATTAGACGATATGTTGAGATGCTTTTTTGGGTTCGATATTATTTATTTCTTTTCATCTTCTGTCATGGTAGACAGACCGCAACATTCGACAGCACCGAATGTGCGGTCTGTCTGCCTTGACACTGATCTTTTTGTTTCGGTTTGGCCCCACTGGCACATTCGAATATCACCACACAGATTGTCAAGGTGACGTTTTTGTGCACCGGGGCCTTTAGGGTTTGACATTGCAGGAATACGCACTTCAATTGTCACTTCCCTATTTGTTGCTATCTTCATAAAGGAGTGATGGAGATGGTTGTGGTTGCAATTTCTTAGCAACTAACAAAAACAAAAAAACCGTCGCCATGGAAGAGCAGGCAATTCTCTGTTGAGATACATGTTGCTCCCTTTTTCCTTTCTTGGTCGTCACTCGCCTTCTTTGGCCACATTTCTTTTGTTTGTCCTTTCACTTCGTCGGTCAGGAGCTACAGCTGGCATACTTGACCAGTGAGTATGATTCTGGACCTCACTTTATATTTATATTCCCCTCCCATTACATATCAAACGACATAGATCTTTGAAATTGAACGCACGTTTGGATACGATTTGATGAATTGCCGAATATGATGATGTGTGGCTGTAAAACGTGGCCTGCGAAATTGACTCTTTTGTTGTCTCGTCAAAGCACTACGTACGGCGAACGACGACCTTTGTATGTCGTATGGTCTTGTTTAATATGTTGTAGTCGATTTTGGAATAGAAAACGAACGATGCAAGCCGACCGTCGTCTAAACATTTGAGTGGCGAATTTTAGCCGAAGAACACCCAATGGGCGATTGCCGGAGAAAAGCTTATAAACAGGGCTCCCCAACTTCCTTTCAGGGGCAGGGGAACAGGCGGCACAGGGCGGGCCCGCAAAAGACACCAAAAATACATTTCAACGCGCCTTTTTTCATGGAAAGCGCGAACGGCCATGAAACCACCTTGAATATTGGCAGGAGCTTCTTTTCTCTTTGTATCGCTCCTTTCTTTTTTGCAATCTCAACACTGCAACTGCACCAGGAGCAAAAGGCAGTCACTGGGAATCTCCCGGAGAATCTATTGGCACTTCTCTCTCTCTCTCTCTTCCCTTTTGTTTTTGTTTTCTCTTCTCGACAGCTTCTCCTTCACACCCATCGTTGCTTCATTGAGCTTCTGCGTACCAATTGCAGCCGCCGACGAGCTTGCTTAGGAGACGAGACGACGCCGCCGACCACGTACGACAACCTCCCTCCCCCCTGACGTATCCAACTGGAGTAGCCAGCGAAACAGAACAACAATGTTACCGGCATCGACGCGAGGGCTGCCAGCCAGCGCGCTCGTTTTGCTTGCGGTTCTGCTGGTGCTTTTGGCGATCCTGCCGGGCGTCACGGCGTCTGTGGGCGACCGCCTTCCAGAGTTCCGCGAATGCTTGGAAGTAGGTTTTGCTGCCTCAGACTACCCAAATTCACAAGTTGGAAGCCAATAACTAATCCATGTGTCTGAACAACAGGTGTGCAAAGCCGAGAACTGCGGGCCGAACAAGCCAGCAACACCTATTCGTGCGTATTCCAGCAACCGACAGCAACGCCAGTCGAAACAAATACATGGCAGGGGAGAAGGCAGAAAAGACAGACAAGACGTCGAAGCTAACGGTTACTCTCTGTGAAACAACAGCTTTCCACCTCCGCTTGTTACTTTGGGACTGCGCCAGCGAGTGCGATCAGACCTGCCAGCGTATCATCACCGGTCACCGCCTCGCTGCCGGCGTCAACGTCGTCCAGTTTCACGGCAAGTGGCCCTTCTTCCGGCTCTTTGGCATCCAGGAGCCCGCGTCTGTCATCTTCTCGCTCGGCAATCTGTGGGCCCACGTGGCTGGCCTGCGCCGCTTGCGCCGCCTCGTGCCCGCGTCATACACGCTGCGGCCCTATTACATTGGCTTTGGCACCGTTGGCATGGCCGCATGGATTTTCAGTTCCATTTTCCACACCCGCGACTTTGTCCTCACCGAACGCCTCGACTACTTCGCCGCTGGTGCCTCTGTGCTCTACGGTCTCTATTTTACGGTTATCCGCGTCTTCCGGCTAGACCGCCCGGTGCGGGAGTCGGTGCGGTCCGTGTGGACGGCAGTGTGTATTTGCTTGTACCTGGCCCACGTCGGGTTTTTGACCCTGATCCGCTGGGACTACGGTTACAACATGGCCGCCAATGTGGCTTGCGGCATCGTTCAGAACGCGCTTTGGAGCTGGTTCTCGTACCGCGAGTGGACGCGCATGCGGCGCTTCTGGGCGGTGTGGCCCGGTATTGCTGTGGCCTGGGTGATGCTGGCCATGAGTCTTGAGATGTTTGACTTTTCGCCCATCTGGGGCGTCTTTGACGCGCACTCTCTGTGGCACCTGGGAACCATTGGGCCTACCATTCTGTGGTACAAGTACGTCTATCTGTTTATCCTTTGCTTGCTCTCCTCTCCATCCTGCTCGACACTAACAATCATTTCTAGCTACTTGGTCCGCGATGCACTTAACAACCTTTCCGGCAAGGAAAGATTAAAAGATTAAGGGGCTGCAGCGGCTGTATATGTTTTCTATGATTACTTATATACGATGCGATGGAGAGGAGGCGACAAGAGCAGAGGGGGAGCATAAACTAAAAGGTTTTGGACACCAAGAGCAGGTCCAACACTTTTATGATACTTAGGACAACATGTCTTTAATTCGGTGCTTTTGGGAACGCGTTTTGGTTTTCTTGCAACTGGTTTGTTGCTATTTTGGCTATGCAAATTGTACCCTGGGATACCGCTACTTGTTTTGTACACCAAGCCAGAAAGAATAGAATGATAATGAGAAGCAAAAAATTAAGTACCTAAATGCTGTCCATTTTTGGAGAGTGCTATAGTGCTACATGAAAATGACGTGGATCCTCCGCCCTTCCACACTTTCGCTCCTGTAAGTCCGTTCTCCTTCCGACCGTATCGTATCTCGTACATTCCAGTCTTTGTCACATTTTCTCTACCTTGCCTCTTATCCCACGGATTAGCACTACTCATCTATCGGCATGTAGCGCGGACCTTCCGCCTGCTGAATCTTCTGCAGCCGGTCGAGCGTCCGCTGTCTGCTGGCCCGCTTCTGCCGCAGCTGGTCCTTCTCCATATCCGTATAGCCCGTCAGCTTTTTCCGTGTCGGCGTGCCCTGGGCCGACAGGCCGGGGGACGAGAAGATCGCCGACGACCGGTGTGTCGACCGGTGTGCGCTACCGGGCGCAAAGATGAGCGACGACCGCTTCTGCTTTTGCTTCTGCGGTGTCGAGAACGGTGAGCCCTCACGGCTGCGCGGATTGAGGTTCAGCTTGCGGATCTGGGCCTCCAGCACATCAATGTCACCACTGCGTTTTTCCGCCATAGCCGTCATTCGGGCAATTGTCCGCATGACGGCATCAACGGTCGGAACTGGCGAGCCCCGTCCGTTCGCGCCATTGGACCCACCGATCGCCGCGGTAAGGGCTGAAATCTTGGTGCGCAGCAGCACCAGCTGCTGTTCGGCTTCGACCAAGCGCTCCGTGAACTTCGTGAATGTTCGGCGCAGATCATTCTGCTGCGTGGCCTGTTCGGCACTCAACGGCAACGAGCGGGCAGCAGTAACCTGGTCTGGACTGGCTTGCGACTGGATAATCCGCACCATGTCGTCGTGCATCACCTGCAGCCGGCTGGCGTCTTTGAGCAGGGCCTCGGAGTCGGCAAGGATCTCGCTCTCGCCCTTGACGCGCGACTGCCGGAGCTTGCTCGGAAGATCGCGGCTGACGATGGCTCCAAGGGCGTCAACATCGCACAGAACCCAGCCATCAGCGTCGTCGAGGTCTTCTTCCGTCTTACGGTCGACCTGCGAGTGGCCACGAAGGAACGCATCAATGTTGCGGCCGTTCAGCTTGAGGACCAGGATCATGCGGTTGATGTCGCGGTACACGGCCTCCACCTGGGACGCTACTGTGTCGCCGCCAGAAATGTCCGAGTCGAGGATGTACAGGCATTCGGCCAGCTGGCGCGTTGGGGCCAACGGCTGGTCAAGCTCTCTGTCCATGACATCGTAGCTGTCTTCCTGCGCGAGTTCCTTGGCCTCTGCTGCAGCACGTGCCTCGTCCACCTTGCGCTGCTCCTCGAGATTGGAGTCACGGGGCACACGCCGGTTCGCAAAGTGGTTGCCGCCACCGCCGAAGCCTTGCGCTGCAGAGGGACCCGCAGCCGGCAGCCGGCCCTGGCGGGACGAGTCACGCAGAAGTTGCGACGCCATACCTGGGGCACTGAAGGACCGCTGAGAATCTTCGCGGAACAGACGACCACTGACACCGGCTGCCTGGGGTTTGGCCGGAGGCCGTTGTGGACTGGGTGACCGAGGACTTGTATCTTGCTGGTGCCGCGGCCGCAACGCCGGTTGTTGCCCAAAGAGCTGACTTCTTGGCGCTTCGACCTGCGAGAACACTGAGCTGCCACCGGCATCGTTGGCACCAACAGTGGTGAACGAGCCATGTGTTGTGAAGCTCGGGGTCTGAACAAAGCCCGTCGTAGAGCGGCTCAGGTCTTTGCCCACATCCGTGCCGCTACCCTCTTCGTCCTCGTTGTCTTCTTCCTCGGGCGCATCCTCCTCGTCTTCTTCCTCATCCTTGTCCCCTTCTTCAACATCTTCTTCGGACTCATCTTCCTCTTCGTCATCCTCTTCCGACCCATCTGTAGTGGGCGAAGGGGGTGGCTTCAGGTTGGCAAATGGGTTGTTCAGTCCGGGTTCATTCTTCATAGTTGAAACAGACGAGAAAATAGATTTGGAAGAGTCAAATGCGGAAGGCTTCAGGTTGCTAAACAAGCTGGAAGTGCCCGCTGACGTCTTTTCGGCCTTGGGTGCTTCTTTGGCCTTGTTGAGGCTATCGCTGAACAAGCTAGAAGTGCCAGCTGGTGGTTTGTCGGCTTTGGACGTCGCCTTGGCCTTGCTGGTAAATGGATCTGGAGGCAGCGGTGCATCTTCGGGGATACCCGCAGCAGGTACAGGCTTCCCCGTCTCAGTCTGTGCCTGTGGCTTCGTGAACGGTTCTGGCGGCAGAGGCGGCTCGGCCGGCTCCTTCGCCTTTGGCTTCGTAGAGAACGGGTTAGGAGGCAATGGCGGGAGTGGCGGCTCTGCAAGGCTGCTCAACTTCTTTGCCTTGGAAGAGAACGGGTTGGGCGGCAGGGGCGGCAGGGGTGCGTCTTCTTCTTCTGCAGCTTTGTTAGACGAAAATTGGGTGACCTGTGCGGGAGGAGATTGTGCAGGTTGTGTAGACTGGATAGAGGATGCGCCGGAGGAAGACGATGACTCCCCGAGTGGGTAAGGGTCCTTACTGATAGTATCGGGGGGTAGAGGCGCGTTCTGTTCTGGCAGTGGCTTGCTTTCGGCCGCCTTTGCAGCCGCTGAATCGTCGGGGGCGCTGGCTTTGTGATCATCTTCTTTCTTGATTTGCTGTGCAGGCTTGGTGAAACCGCCAAAGAGGCCTGTGCCAGCGCCAGCGGGTTGAGCGAAGAGACCAGTAGTGGTAGGAGCAGTTGACCCAGAAGGCTTTCCGAACAGCGATGGTGCCGGTGCAGCCCCCGAGGGCTTACTGAAGATAGACGAGGCCGGGGTAGCCGAGCCTTCCGCCGGTTTGCTGAAAAGCGACGGAGCAGTTGACGTTTCTCCCGACGGCTTGCCAAACATCGATGACGTGCTCGTCGCCGTACCCGCTGTCGTCCCCGAGGGCATACCAAAAAGAGACGTCGTTCCAGTGGTTGCGCCAGTCGAGGGTTTCCCGAAAAGAGACGTTGGTGCCGGGCTGTCGTTACTTGTAACAGGGTCGAAGAAGCGCCCAGCAGGCGCCGGTGTCGTCGTCGGGGTCGTTGATTCAAAAAGACCAGCAGTTGGCTTCGCCTCTGTTGCCGCCGGGGTCGGCGCCGACGGCGTAGGAACGTCCATAGCCTCGTCCTTCTGGTCGACCGGCGTTTCCTTTGCTGAGTCGGTCAGCGAGAGGCCAAACCCGCTGCCGAACAGACCGCCGCTCTTCTGGGGCGTCTTCTCATTATCGTTTGCCGTGGCCGGATCCGCCTTGAACGTCGTGCCTAAGACGAAGGGAGTCGAGCCAAATGCGGATGTTCCCGTTGCTGAGCTCAGTTTGTCTGCTGGGGCTGTGAAAAGTGTGTTCTTGGTATCAGTGCTAGGGGCGCCAAAGGCGCTGGTGGCATTGGTGCTGGCGAATGGCGACCCCTTGTTCCCGGCCGATGATGCAAAAATACTACCATCGCTCGACGTCCCTGCGCCGAGAGACGCGAATCCAGTTTGGGTTGTCGCACCAAAGGCACCGAAGGGATTGGCACTCGACGTCTTCTCGGACGAGGTCACAGCACTTCCAAATGGCGATGCGTTGGATTTGCTTGCAAAGGCAGAGAAGCCGCCACTGGAGGGCGCAACAGCCGCAGCAGACGCAGAACCGAAGCTGGACTGGCCAAATGCCGGGGCAGCAGCGGAAGAGCCCCATGGAGAGGACTTTGCGCCGAGGCCAGACGGAGCGCCGAGGGTTGAGCCGCCGAGCGCAGAAGGCGCGCCAAAAGCGGGTGCCCGCGCAGGGGATGCGGCAGAGGTACCGCCAGATGCCCGACCCCATGGGGAGGCGCTGGACCCCAAGGCCGCTGCCCCGCCAAAAGTCGGTGCAGGGCTCGCCGGTGTAGCACTTGTTGCAAAAGCAGGCGCTGACGGCCTGGGCGAAGAGAACGCAGACGCGGTCGGAGTTGTCGAAGCAGCAGTTGGCTGTGCAGAAGCTGCCCCGCCAGCTGCAATCAGGCCAGGGTACGTTGTTCCTTGCCGAATGGACTCGTTATAAACGATCCACCAAGCTACGAGAACACCCTCGTTGTTGAGCACCCAAAGGCCTGGAAGCGGCCCGGGGGATTCGTCCATCTCATCGGTGGGGATAGGCTTGTGGACCTTGTCCGTACTAGACAAATCGAGAGCCACACCGATCGGGTACGTATCGTTGTAGTCGGCAGACATTGGCAGTTGTGCACGTCTCGAGTCGTCTGCAAGCTCGGTAGTTGTGAACACGTTGGTGATCTTTTCGGCCGCGACATTCGAGGCCAGCGGTGACTTCGACCGGGTGATCAGGCCAATGTTTTCCACAGCCGTCGACGAAACCAGCAGTACGTCCTGCAGATTTGGTGGGAAATCGCGCAGACGAAGAACGGTGTGGTGGGGTGTCTTGTCGCCAAAAGGCTCGACAGGGTCGTTCAGCTTCTGATACACAAAGTCGGACGAGGTACCGTTCTTGCTCCGTGTGACGAGGTGGTAGGCGGACGGATCGCCCGGCGTCGTTGGGTTGTGCACGACGAGGAACACGTCGTTCTCAAGCCACGAGATGGACGCTACGTAGTAATCGCCCAGCTGAGGCGGCTTGGGAATGTGCGCCTTTTCCTGTCCGTCAGGCGTCATCTGGTAGAAAGAGCCATCGGCACAGCCAGCAACGAGCTGTTTGCCCTTGCTGCTCCAAGCAGCACAGCTCACCTGCGAGCGGAGGACTGGCTGGCCACTCGGGCCATTGCGAAGTGAGCGTTGCTTCAGGTCGGCCATAAGCAGACTGCCGTTGGCCGTCACCAGTGCACAGAGTTCGGCCTTATCGGCCATCGGGTTAACCACAACAGAACGGAGTGTCTCGCCATTGGTTGACAATTCAAACGCAGACTGCGTGCTGCCACTCTGAGCAGTTGCTTGGACGTCGTATACAGCCAGGCCACCGCCGGTCTCGGCTGAGAGAATGAGATATGCTTCATCAGCAGTAAATGCGAGCTGGGAGATGCGCATCGGCATGGGAATCTTGAACTGGGGCGTGAACGGTCGGATGTCGCTGTCGTCGCCACCGCTGCCCTCAGCCGTAATGGCTTTCCGTACGGAGTCGGTGGTCGCGACATGAACAGCGTCGGGGCCTGCTGCTGCAACAAGGCCCTTGCGCGACGCGACGCTGATGAGAGACGCGGTCGGTAGTGGAGGTTCAGCCCATTTCGTAACGAACTGGAGCTTTGTCTCACCGGCAAGGTTGAGGAAGCCGAGGCCCTAAAAACTATGTCAGTATGTCGATGGTCACTCTCGTACTCAGTTGTCCGCAGCAACACCGTGTGCACGCACCTCAGTCTGGATCAGCTCGAGATCCTGGCCTTGCGTTGCCTGTCCGCCACCCGCCCCAGCCACAGCACCGGCGCCTCCTCCGAGACGGCCAAAGCTGTTGAAGGCCATCTGCAGACGCACCCTGGTTGCTGGATAGCCACCCAGAAACGCAGTGGACGGTCCTTGAGGAGAGGGAGGCAGCTTCGGTTGTGTTGGTGATGTCGTGGGTGCTTGCGTTGAGATTGATCAAGGGCGCCGTGCGTCAAACGCGCGTTCTGCGTGGCACCCAATTCGCGATGTTGTTTTGGTGGCCGGCCGCGATGCAGAAAAGGCCTAACGATACTGAAAAGGGATCGCCTCGATGGAAGGAAGGACCATCGATGATAGATACAATTGCTCTTTCCGCATGAATTTTGCTGGAGAGGATCGTGGCTGCCGAATGGAGCTGTTGTGATGGGCGCCTTCCGCCTTGTTTCCTATCGTGCCTGCTTGTTGTTGCTTGCCGGACAACTTTTTTCTCAGGTAAGTGAAGACGCGCGCGACGACCAGCCAGCAAAGCTTAGCACTCTAGCCACCAAAATCCATTCCCTGAACCAACAGGCAGTGTCACGTGCAGAGCTTGAGATCAGCTTCCCAAAGTGGGTCATGAGCTTGCAAAGCACCAATCAAAAGGCTAGTGTGCATTACTGGTCCAGGCAAAGGGGGAAGGCGCGTCTCAAGCTGTTGAGGTTGGAAGGCAGCTTTTTAGCCTCGTCATCCGTAGCAGTAGGCAAAGACCCAAGCGGACGGAGCTGCAACGAGGCATCACCACCAGACCATCGTCACCCAAACCACCCTCTTCTGCGCGCAACCACCATCGACCATCGACCATCCTCGCGCGACGATCAGCCCCAGACGTTGATTGTCTTCCGAATTGATAGGTTCATATAGAGCCTCCGTCATTGTCAGCGTCGCCACGGCCGTACAAAAGAAGCATCCACATCAGCACCAGCTAGGCCACTGTCCATCGGTTCGCCTTTCGCATCCAAACGGACCCCCCGTCCGTTAAACCACCGCGCTCTCACCTTGCCATCTCCATCCGTGACCATGCCTGGTTTCGACTTCTCCAACTACAACCGCAATGCGGCCCTGCATGCCCGCGGTGTGCCCCTGCCGAAGGCGACAAGCACAGGCACAACTATTGTCGGCTGCATCTTTGATGGCGGCGTTGTGGTGCGTTTGCGCCATGGTCTCCATCTGTTTTGACCCACGTCCACCAGCTGACAATCGCTATATTCTCTCTCTCTAGATTGCCGCCGATACACGTGCCACGTCCGGCCCCATTGTCGCCGACAAGAACTGCGAGAAGCTGCACTACATCGCGCCGCAGATTTGGTGTGCTGGTGCCGGTACCGCCGCCGATACCGAGTTTACGACCGCCATCATCTCGTCGCAGCTCGAGCTGCACTCCTTGTCGACGGGCCGCAAGCCGCGCGTTGTCACCTGCATGACCATGCTGAAGCAGCACCTGTTCCGGTACCAAGGCCACATTGGCGCGTACCTTGTCGTGGCCGGCGTTGACCCCACGGGCACGCACCTGTTCACAGTGCACGCACACGGCAGCACAGACAAGCTGCCGTACGTGACGATGGGGTCGGGTTCGCTGGCGGCCATGTCCGTGTTCGAGACCAAGTGGAAGCCGCAGGCGCTGACGCGCGACGAGGCCGTGGAGCTGTGCAGCGAGGCCATCAAGGCAGGTATTTTCAACGATCTGGGTTCTGGTAGCAACGTCGATGTAGCAGTGATTACCAAGGACAAGACGACGCTGCTACGCAACTACATCCGTCCCAACGAGCGGGTGCCGAAGCTGCGCAACTACGTCTTCCCGCGGGGCACAACGGCCGTGCTCAACGAGAAAATCACCATTCGCAAAGAGGACATGGGCAACTTTGTCACCGTTCACGACTTGCCGGAACAGGCGGAGGAGACGGAGTCGATGGAGGTCGACCCATAGAGGAAAAGCCAAGCCGCAGGGTAGGTAGTTGATGGGAGAAGCATGAAACGTTCCGTGGCGTGGGTGGGCAAGGAGAAATGCCATTGGTTGTACTCGGAAGCCAGTAAGCAGCGCTCAACTTGATAGTCAGGGGCGTTTCCGGTCCTCGTTGATACTTCCACGACATTTCATCAATGCTGTAAATCCAGTGTATTACCAGTTATAACCAGTTATAAATCAAAGTGGCCAAGCAAAAATGACGTGCCAACATACGAGCATCCGACCAGCATGTACTACATCGTACTCCGTGAAGATTTTGGTGCCAGTTCAAGTCGAGGTGGGTTGCGTGAAAAGCAACCACGCAACAGGGCGCGGCTTTCTCTCCAAAACGGACTCGGTGTATTAAGCCCAGCAGTAATCAACCAGACGCTACAGTGATCCCCAGCATTCATGATAGGGACAATGCGAGATAGTACAAAGCCGTCTGTCGAATCCACAGTGGCGGCATATAATTGAAAGGAAGATACAGAACGAAAGGGCAAACCGTCTGCACATGGCTTGACCATTAGCTTTTCTCAAATCCTGCCAAGCGCAGCACATGAACAGCGCCGACTGGGCACATATGTCGGCGAGGCCAGACATGGTGCTCCAAGAAGTAGAAAGAAGAAAACTAAACAATAAAAGTAGTACGCTTAGGCGTCTCGTACAGTTGAATAGAGTGCGTAAATGAGAGGTGGAACTGAAACAAAGAGGGAAGCTAGAGTCCCGTAAATAGATAACTCCTGTCCATGAATCGGGGTAAAAGTCGAAGTCGAATGAAAAAATGCAGATGGCAAATAAAAATAAAAAGTAACACACAAACATTTGCAGCATAATGGTCGTACTAAAATCATGACTGACAGAAAAGTAAGATAAAGAGGAGTAAAGGGGTATGAAAAACGACGTTTTGTTGAAGTAGGGGAGAACGAGCGTGAGAGAAATTAAAAAGTGACGGGGCACCGAAGAACGTCTCGGCAGAAACCGTAGACACGCTGCGCAGGTTTTATGAGCTGTGCTTGATGCCAAAGATGTTTCTGGACCGGGACTTGGACCGAGCCTTGTCGTCTTTGCTGAACTTTGGGGACTTAACAGACTCTTTGTCGTCGTTGTATTTGGATTTGTAGATCCTGTAAAGTAGTGTCAGTACGTGACGATGTCTAGAACAATCAAAGACGTTCAAATGGTGATACGTACCAGCTGTTGCCAACCATGCTCATGCCCTTTGCTTCCGCTTGGCGGTAGAACTTGGAACTTGTCTTCAGGTTCTTCTTGCAGCCAATGCCTTGGGCATAGCAGAATCCAGCCTCGGCGAGGGCGTCCACGTCACCCCACGATCCGGCAATTTCAAAACAGCGCAGGGCGAGAGCCCGGTCTTGCTCGATGCCCCAACCATTCATGTAGCTGACGCCCAGCTCGTAAATGCTGAGGGCAAACTGGGCCTTGCGCGTCTTGCGCTCCAGTGCATCGACGTTCTTGCCTTTTTGAAGAAGAGCCTCGTCGTCAGCAATCTCAATGCTAGCGCAGTCGGCGGCCTTGCGCAGCCATTCGGCACCCTCCCTCGGGTTAGCACGCATACCCCAGCCATGACGGCACGCCAGGGCGTACAGCAGCATGCCTGTCGGGTGGCCCTGGCGAGCAGCGTGGCGCAAGTGGTAAGTCGACTCGTTCAGAAGACCCTGTTCATGAAGCGACACGGCCTTGTCGACGTGCTCTTCAGCCGGGATATCCGCGGCGGACGCCAGCGAGTTCATCGACCGAGCCTTGATAGTCGTGTTCGAGTCCGTTGTACCGCCTGTATTTGTGGTTGTCACCGACATGGGCGTTCTCCCACGGGACGGGGGCTCTTGCGGGTGTGCAATCAACGCACGGCCTCTCGTGTCTTCGAACGAACGCCCGCCTTCGGTTGAAGGCCGGCTGGGGTTCGGAGACGGCTGGGAGGTCGGAGCCAGAATCTCCGTGCTGAGCTTAGTGCGCTCCAGGGACGGCCGTGCAAAGGATCCGGCTCCCGAGCTGGATGGACGCGTTGGTGGCGATGGTGGTGCTTGACCGCCTAGAGAAAGCGTGTGCAAGCTGCTTGGTGCGATCATCTGTTCCAACTGGGACGAGGCTGGAGGCAGATTGTCCGCAGTCTGGTTGGCAGATCGTTGAAGCACCTTACCTCGCGGCAGAGTGAATTTGGAATAGATGTACGAAGACGCCGCGGGAAGGCTGTTATCCGGTGCGGACGACGAGGCAGCTGGTGGGTCCGGGAAGCCCTCGCTGTGCGTGCTGATCGGCGTGTTGGCAGAATCATCGGCAAGAACAAGAGACGACTGGCTATAGGAAGTGTGACTGTCGGAAGACGCCTGGCGGGCCGGACTCTCAAGTCCTGGTGTACCAACCCGACTGAGAGGACGTGAGAAATTAAACGAAGGACGTGGCAGCGGTGCAGACATGTCGGAGCCAAAGGACGGAGATCTGTGGAAAGAGCCGTAACCGGGTGAGGCAATTCCGCTCATGCCACTGCTGTTGGACAATTTCCTGGGAGCACCACCCAATGAATGGAGGGAAGACGACATGGTGCCGTGGCCATCCTCGTCAGTCGTCTCCAGCGATGACGACAAAATGCTCGATGAGCGCTTCGGGAACAATGGTCGCGGCGGAGCCAGCCCTCCTGATGAGGGGTCATGCATATTCCGAGAGCCGGCATACTTTTCAGGAGAATGTGTCGAGGGATTCAGGCCCGATGGTGTGTAGGGTGAAGGTTGAGAGGTCGGCGTTTGGTGGTATGGGAGTGTTTGCTGGAGTGGTGGTAGGTTGTGCTTGGGCTTCGGCTGTATATGGGGCTGTTGCGACTCAGGTGTCGACGACTCAGGTGTCAACTGGCGCAACCGCAGGTCTTGCGATGACGTCGACCGCAGGACGTGCTCGGGCAGTTGCAAGGCCTGTGTCTGATGTGGCTTGGTCTCAGCCTGGATTTCAGACGCTTCCGACTCCAACATTGACAACGCGGCTTCCTTTTCGCGAGACGCTTCAGAGGCATCGTCTGGAAATGGCGATGGCGACCGGTCTCGCCGTGCGCCAAATAGACCTCGCTCCTGCTCATCCTCGGCTTCAATAATACCAGACCGCGTCCGCATCAGCCTCTCGCGCTCACGGGCGAACGCAGGTAGAGGTGGTGGGCCCGCCTCCACATCTGAGCTAGGCGAGATATGGCTCATCCGAGGGTGCATGGACCGTGGCCGCACGGCAGGGACTTCGACTTCAGGTGTTGATCCAAAACCAGTGGGCGTTATGGGCTGCGAGGAAGAAGACGATACCTGGGTTGGATTGTTTGGGGTATCTCCATTGTCATCGTCAGAGTAGGAGTCGTATGACATGGAGCGAAAGTAATCTGAGCGACCCTGCACGACGAGAGGGCTCTTCATCGTCAGCGGCGGTAGACGGCTCACTCTCTTGTCAGCTTTTGCACTCTCCTCCAGCTGCTTTGCCAGCATGCGGCTTTGGAGGGCGAATGCATCGAGAGGCGAGAGCTCGGGCGGGGCTTCACCGGCGACATGAAGTCGCGGCGATTTAAGCGGCCGCGAGAGCGACGCCTGCGATTGTGACCGCAGGTCGATGAAATTTGGCCGTGGTGCGGACATCTTGTTGCGTAATGGAGTTCTCTGGTGACGTGGGGATGGCCTTTGTGAGGAAAAAAAAACTATGGGTATCGTAAACAAACGACCCGGCCAGCCGATGAGGAAATTTAAAAGTATTCTGCACGCGGCAAAAGTGTCCAGCGTCTCGAGAGATCTGGCTGGCGACGTTTGGCAAACCTGTTGTTCAGGGGAAACAACCTCCTGATGGGACGGTGGGACGGTGGAGGGAGAAAGAAAGAAAAGACGTCAGGTGTCGCCCCGATCTATTTTTGTGGCATACACAGTCTCAATGCGCCTCCGTCCAGACCAACTCGAAGCGTCAACACCAGCCAAGCAAGGAGTGGGCTGTCCGCGTCAAAGAAACTGCATCAGTCGTCAACGCAGGGCGGCTGGGCAAAGCAAAGAGAAACGACCGACCAGGCAGTGAAAGCGAATGGTGCATAGAGGCGTGTCAACTGTTTCGTCGATAAGAGGCCAAGAAAGGTCGATTATTGTGGCTTGCTACGAATGAGTTTGACAGTCGTTGAGAAGAAAATAAAAAGAAAACACGTGGTGGTGTACTGGCTACCTTGTCGGCAGGTTTGCAAGATGTCGGTTTGTTGCGGTTTGTTGTTGTTTTCCGGATCAACGGCTGTCGCATGAATCTGAAGTCAGACCAAACACTGTAAGAACGCAAGGCGAAAACGGTAGAATGCGTTGAGCAATGCTGATCGGCGCGCGGAAAAAAAGGAACGACTGCGAAGCGTGTAACAGACTGGTTATCGAGGAGACCTGTTCTGCGATAGTGTCGTGGTTTCCTGTATCAGTGATGTCGGGCAAACCGGTGCATGGCGCTTTGTCATCCGGCGAGTTTGGTGGGCGCGACGATGGTAGTCTAGCTGCAAGATGCTGGCGGAGAGGCGACAATCGAATCGAAAAAAGGGCGTCGAAAGAGTTGTCGAATGAAAAGAGCGTGATGATGGTCTGCCAGTGCGAGCGACTAAAGGGGCGGCAGAACCAGAAGAAGCGAGACGAGTGTCGTCGAGGGACGAGCGTGCGGGAGAACAAAAACCGAAGAAAAGAAGGAGGGAAGAAGGACGCAGTGCTACCAAGGTGGTGAGTCCTCCCGTCTGCCGAACCGGTATGTACTCTGCTTGTCAAAGAAAGGGGGGGAGGACAAAACGCACTTAATATGTGAGAGTAGTATTGTCGAAATGGCGAGTGCGGACGGGGAAGGGGTACAGGGGCAGGAACGGGTATGCACAACGGAAGAGAGTTAAGACGGGGAGAGAAGGAAAGGCGAAGGAATGGAGATGGAGAAACGGGAGGGACGTTGGTGATGACGATCTGAAGGGACAAGGGGCGAGGGGCGTCCAGACGGAGGATACGTCGTAGAAAGAGCGGTGCAAGCAAACAGAGCGCGATGTCGACAAGCAGTGGCGACAAGGTGTAGAACACCGGCCGAGGTTAGACAAGAACGGGCAGGGGTAGCGTGCAGCGCATGACGCTCTGGAGGGCCGTTCTGTTTGAAGTGGTGATGTTTGAGCGTTCTGTGTTTATGGGAATTGACCGCCGCCTGGCAGCTTTCGCTGGGCAGTATTTCGTTTGGAGCCTGCCGTGTCGCTCGGACGCAGGACGCAGTGCACGCGATCGATCGGGCAGAGGATTTGATGGCAGAAGCCTGCTGTGGTTGGATGACGGCGAATGGGGGGAGACACGAAGAGGAAACGGGAGAAAAGAGGCGAAAGGCCAATGGCTACAAAGGCCTACGAGAAAAGGAGGACATCATAGGCAGATAGGCTGCTAGGGTGCTGGGCTGTGGAATACGAGCAGCGACTCAGTGGAGAGGGGAAACGTCGATCGCAACAGGAAAGAGCAACCTAGGGGGCCGCCAAGACAAACGACAAATTTGCAAGAGTGGTTCGAGTGGCTCCAGGAAGGCGTTGGAGGCACTGGGGGCGAAGGGAAGAAGGGGCGACCAACGGGAGCAATACGGGGTGCATAACAGTAGGGGCCTTGAAAAGCGGCCCAGGGCCCGTTGACATGCGATTGCTGGTGCAGGCGATGAGTAGTACAGGCGTAACAGCGACTTTGGGCAGTGGGGCGCCTGCCATAATTTCGTTCCTTCCTTTGCACTCGGCCGGAGCCTGACTACTGGCAAGTGCGTGGGCCTGACCCACTTGGGGCAGGTGCGCCGAATACAGAAGTACAACATGCACACGTCGAAGGGAAGGCTTGACCAACAAGGCGTGGAGAAGTGGAAGGAGCCGCAAATCATGCTCCAGAACTGAGGGCAGCGAGAGAAGATGGGGACACTTGCACTTTGCTTGCTTGTCTGTGTAGTCTCGGTGGCGATTCAGTCACGACCGAGTACGACGTAAGACGTACGCTATCCTGAACAAGGTATTATTATTGATTCTTGTGGATGTTGGCCTTCCGTCATGGCCCAGTGACGGCCAGGCTCCCGTTCTGGACTGCATTACTGCATTGGCGAAAGCCAAGGTGCAAGAGCAGGTGGCGCACAGCCGCGCATGAGGATGGACCAAAGATGTGATAAAATGTCATGTGCTTATGTTTGCAGGTGTTCTGGTTCGGTTATTATCCTGTCTCTACAACGTAAAAATGCGCTATCTGTTGTTGGCTCTTTCTATCGGTCGTTGGCTCTTTCCTCGTGTAGCATAAGCGGCCGACCGGCTTCGGTGGCCTTTGGGCAGTTGCTACTTTGGGACCGGGCACGGCCGCGAGCCACCAGCGCCGCTTCAGGGGCAAAGGATAAATATAGACAGCTAACACAGTCTTCAAGACGCTGCCTGGCGCGATCTTACAGTACGTCGTACCTTTACAGTCGACCGCGGTGCCTGCGCGTTCCAGACACCTGTCCAAGGGAAATTTCACGCGTCAGTCAATTGCTTCATAGAACCTTCTACCGGCAAGCGCGACACAGCGTGTGCGACGAGGCCATGCCGTTGTGGGAAAGAGGAGAGAGAGTGATGCGGGTGTCGCCGAGGAGGGCAGGAGCCAAGAAGAACGCAAAGAGGCGGCCGGTTGTCCAAGACGCGATGATTTCAATCGCCTTTCACGTTTTGTGATTTGATGTTTAATTTGGCTGCAGGAACCAAAACTGCCAGGGGGACATTGTTTATTGGATGGAAATGTCACGGCAAGTGCAGGGTGCAGGTGGTGGTGGTGGGGATTTGCCCTCCTTAACGCAGGTACGCTACTTTTCGGGGCCTGTGGCAAGGGTCCAACCAAGGTAGTGCGCGGGACAAGGAAGGCACGTTACAGGGTCGTGGCTTGAGAGAACCACTCATCTGCGAATAAGCAACCAGACACACCATATGAAGTGCAAAAGCAAAACAACGGACGACTGTGCACCTGCTTTTGCGTGCTGTGCATATGCAGGCCGATCCTCATGGGGGCGCAACCACCTTGTGCTGCTGACTATGCCGTGGTTCGTCTCCAGAATATTCCGTATGTGACTACAAGGAAACAAAACGAAACGTACGCAGAAAAAAACGGCGTGTGCAGCTAAACGACGTAAAGTGGAAAACCGGATGAAAGGGCCTTCGAAACCATGTTGGTGGTTCGGAGGAGCTTGTCCAGATCAATACTAGCGGGCGTCGGGGTGCAGCAGCTGGAGATGATCATCAGGCGGCCAGAAAGTTGATCACGAGATACGGTGCATATAGTTGTACCTGGAGACTGAATTGTTCATGGCTTGAAGATGGACGATGCACGAGAATCAGCAAACCCCAATTTTTCTTTGACAGACAGCGTCCACATCGGCCACATCAGTCTAAATTGGCCAATGACTTGTAACTAGTTGTACACACATGACCGTCGGCATACTCACGAGACCTAGTCTCCAAGTGTACTCCATCTAGGCGTGGCCAGTGAGGATACAATACATTGTGGTAGCATGGCAGACTTCTCTGAAAACAATCTGTATGGTAGTCTACAACGTCGTCATGCAATTTTGCTGCCAGGCCAATGAGCATGTCAAAAGGACGAGAAAAAACTAGGAAACCAAGACAAGAATGTATTCTTCCGCGCGTCCACTGGAATGGCGAGAACGTACAAAGTACAATGCAATCTCACCTCACGACATCCAAAACGCGCCGATGACCAACAGGACGCGAATGGCAGCAGTCAACAAAAGAAGGGTCCAAAAACCTGTTTCAGCTTGTTTTGTGGAGCGTGGAGCGCGACACAAGAAGACGAGACTAGGTAGGAAAGATAGTGGGACAGCAGTGTAGATCCAATTTGCGATACCGCATGGTTACGTAGCAAACGAAAATTGCATGCGCGGATTTGAAAAGGCTGCTTCGGTGATGTAATTTTGACCCTCGTGTCACTCTGCGTCTACAGTACCGAAAGTACGTTCTTTCAGCAAAATAAAACGATATATTCACTCTCTTTTCATAACCCAATAACAGCGACAAACGACAAAAGAAAAGGATCCCAGCCTGAACGCCTTGGGGAATGCATGCAACCCAAAAACCACCAAATATAAGACGATCACCGTGAAACTAGACCCTCATATCCCGCTTTGTACGGTTTGTGTCTTGTCAACCCACACTGCTCGCCACAACGACTCCTGTCTCTCTCGCTACAAGTCCTTAGACCGCAGTTTCTTCAGCCGAGTCGCACCCTCAAAGACAGTCCGATCCACCGCGGCAGCGACAGTGAGCGTTCCGCCGATAATGGCACACAGGCCGGCCAGGAAGCCCGCAAAAGTCTTGGCCCGCTCCTCACGGTTGACAACCTTCATCGGCGAGATATCCTGCAGAAAACGTTAGCAAAAAAAACGCCCAAAACATAAACAGCACAACAAAAGGGGGGGGGATACGTCAGGCGACCAGAAACAGAAAACATACATAGCTAAAGAACACGCCGGGAATGCCACCTCGGGCGTGCATGCGCTCCTTGTGGCCCTCGGCCGCATCGTCGCCGCCCTGCAGGCTCCGCTTGTGGCTCGTCACCGAGTACTGATGCGTCTCAACGCTGCCGTCGGCCAGCACGCCGTAGGAGCCAACGTCCGAGTCGGTGGACCGGTCGTCGTGCATGTAGCCTCGGAACGTCTTCTCCCAGCCCAGCGCCAGGTACGACGTCGGCACGATCTTGACAAAGTACATGTAGTTGAAGTTGGGGTCCGTGGTCTCCTGGACCACGCCGTCGAGCGGGTTGACGTGGTGGTTGGTCCACGGCAGCGCATTGGTCGACGACGACTTGCCGCCGCCGCCGCCGCCGCCGCCCAGCTTCTTGACAATGGCCTCGGGGATCTGCGGACCGAAGCGCAGCGAGTGGACAGTGTGCGTGAACGAGTGCATCTGCGGCACCGGCATGTCCCAGTAGTTCTTGAGGTCGTGCACGTGCATGTTGCCGTTGCTGAAGCTGCGGCCGGGCGCAATGTGGAAGTTGCCGACGACCTTGTTCACGCGCAGGGCGCCCTCGATGCGGCAGCCCTCGTGGCGCTGCTCGTCGAGGCGCTCGGCAAAGTGCTCGCGCTCGCACTGCTCGACGTTCTCGCCGCGGCCAAACGCCCACGAGGAGGCGGCGTACGCCTCGCGCACCTCGTCACACGTGTTGCAGCAGCCCGGCTTGGCGGCGTGCGCAGGCGGCTGGGCACCGTAACAGGGGCCGCAGTAGTTCGGGTCCAGGTGCGACGCCACCTCGTCGGCGGCGTGCAGGTTGAGGTCCTTGGCGTCGATCTCGGCGCCACCCTCGTGCTGTGGCTTGAGGCGGACCATGCGCACGCCGTGCTGGACGCCGTGCTGCTGTTCGCCTGACACATCCATGACGTCGAGCGTCAGCAGCTCGCAAGGGATCTTTGGGAAGGTGATGTTGAGGTGGATCTCCATGCGCTCGCCACGGCCCTTGTCGACAACCAGCTCCGGGTGGACGACGATGCGCCGATAGTCAATCCACTCGCCCCAGGCCAGGTAGAGCACGACGATCAGCGAGACGATAGTGACGATGCCGCCCGAGGTGGTGCGGATGCGGGCATCCTCCACGGTCTTGGTGAAGGCATCAAGCCTTGTGAAGCGGGACTTGGCCGGCATGGCGCTGGTGCTGTTCGCAGGAAAGCAAAGTCGGAGGGTGGTCGGAAACGAACAACAACTCGCAAATTGTTCCACAAGGAGTCAAAGGTAGGAAATCACGGGGGGATCGATTGGACGGCGGCAAAGGGAGCGAGATCGACAATCGAGAGGCTGGTGATATACGGGTCGCGCAGTCCCAAGAAGGCTATCGCTAGAGAGCCACGGAGATGGGACCTGGGTCGAACAGACGATGACTATGAAAGAAGTAAAGAGAGGCGTTCCCAGCAGAGCGTCTTGGTCGTCAGCGTTCTCGACTGTGCAAAGCGCCTCGTTGTTGTCGCAAGGAAGGACGGAGGTCAGGTCAAAGGGGGTCCGCTGGTCGGCGAGGGTCGTAGGGCGAAACAATTGGCAGACGCAAAAGGCCACCTCACGTTTTAATTCCGCCTTAACTGCTTTCCAGCAACATTCCCCCAAACTGGTCTCCACTCGGCACCCATTTTGGGACAAGCCCAGGAACCGGCGACAGGTGGCAGGGGAAGGCGCGACGCGGCTGAACATGGCTAAAAGCCCCGGAAAGCGGCCATTGTTTTTCCGTTCTGGGGAGCTGAGACAGGACCGAACCTACCTGTAACGCGCTGTAAATCGTTGTCTGTGTGGCATATGCCTCTGCAAGCTGTAATTAACGGCTCCAGGCCTTATGCCTGGCTGCAGGAGCTTCCTCAGCACCTAAAAGATGCGCCTCGGGGCTTCACCCCGCTACAGGCCCACATTTACATCCCGTCTAGGAAGGTGGTTACGTCGCCGTCAGAGAAAGAACGGCCGGCACTACCATAGACTACGGGTAGGGGCACGACATTAAACATTGTAAGACGGCGGAAGGATCAGTTGCGTATTTCGGGTTGTCGAGTGCGTCTGTCGCATCCTTTGGACGACAGTCTGACGCCGCTGCTGCACGATGGTATGAGTCAAGCCGGCATGATAATCTTACGGGAAGCAGACGCGACATAAAGCAGCCGCTCTCAGGCATATATATATTCTCATGACAAAACCAGCGGCTCAGGACATATCATTTCCCTCATTTACATCCTTCTGGACGTTTGCTTAGTACGCTCGCTCTTCTTCTTCTTCTTCTTCTTCATCATCATTATGGCAGACTCTGACGCCGTCTTCCCCACGACGCCCATCCTTCGTCTCGAGCACTGCGTGCTCCGGCCGTACCATGTCTCGGACCTCGAGCCCATGTGTGCCGCCGCCAACGACCCCGATATCGTCCGCTACATGCGCGATACGTTTCCCTATCCGTACGATCGCGAGGCCGGTCTGAACTGGTTGAAGATTTGCAAAGCAGAAGGCTTGCCAGAGGAGGACGAGCCAGCGTCGGCCGCACCAGCATCCACAGCAGCTTCCAAACCAGAGGTCCCCCGGTCTGAGCTCACCGCTGCCATCTGCCTGCTGGACGGTACGTTTGTCGGCAGCACAGGCCTCCATGTCGTCGGCCGTGACGGCACCGAAAGGTACACGCGCGAGCTTGGGTACTGGATTGGCAAGGCACACAGGGGATACGGGCTCGCGACAGAAGTGGCGGCCGGGCTGGGCCGGTGGGCGCTGTCGGCGGCGAGCGGCATATTGACGCCGGATGGACAACCGCTGCGGCGGGTCGAGGCGGGCGTGTACGGCGAGAATGCAGCCTCGGTGAAGGTGCTGGAGCGGGCTGGGTACGTCCGAGAGGGCGTGCGGCGGCAGGCGGTTGTCAAGAACGGCGCAATGCAGGACGTGGTCATCTTTGGTCTGTTGGCGTCCGACCTCAAAAAATAGGAGGTGATTGTCATGTCCCCTTTTATGACAGCGTATGGGCGACAAGAGTAAGAGGATGAACTATTTTTTTCTCTTTTCTTTACTTCTTTTCGGTAGAAAGAAGAAAAGAACTCATTTGATACTCGAACTATATTAGATACAACGTTATCATGTCAATAAAAGAAAAAGAACACGACGGCACTTCATTGTCTTCATGCGCGGTCAAAGACGCAGAGATTGCAAACAAAGCACGACGCCGCCAGATAAGGAAACAACTGTTTGGTGATCCGGCCTAGTATTATAGCATTCCTGTACAGTCGTTTCGATTTACTCCTGGGTCCGACTCCCAAACATCTTGATCCACGCAGCATCGTAAGGGTCGAGCTGGACGGCGCTGGGCGGCCGTGACCGACGACTCAGGCCGCCTCCTGCAGACACGTCGTTGACAGCACGCTTGCGCTTGCCGGGCGTGATGTTGGCAGCCGTGATATTACCACAGTTGGGCCGCACAAGTTTGTTGCCAAACGTGTCTGCTGTCCAGAGAAGCACACCGTTTGTCCAGCCAAAACCCTCGACCACCGTGTACTCGCCCCCGCCGCCGGCCCCGTTCGTGGAGTTGTACGTGTACTTCTCAAACATGGTACCGTTGTCAGCAGAGCTGAAGCCCATGAGCTGTGGCGTCAGCGACGTCGAGCCGCCCGTGGCGTACCATGTGCAAAAGGCCGAGTCAAGGTACCGCTGGCCAAGGCGCAGTGCCAGATCCCGAACGTCCTGGTAGTTCGTGTCATGGACGCCAAACGTGGCGGGTGTGTTGAGCAGCCCCTTCATCAAGACATGCTGCAGCGGCGGCCACACATTAGGCTGGTCCCATTGCTGACCAGTCACCAGATTCGTGGCGGGAATGCCTCCCTCGGTGCTGTCCAGGAACGCTTTGACACGCTTAAAAGCCAGCTTGACGGCCAGCGGGTCGTTCTTGAGCTGTGCCGGCGCGGCGCCGGTCCAGAAGGGGTACAGCTGGGCGATATCGAACAGCACCTGGTAGCCGGACGGCGCCGTCTCTTCCGCTAGCAGGGTCGTGGTGTTATCTCTCGGCACATAAATATTCTGGGCTTTGGAGCTCATGTTGTAGTCAAAGTAGCTAAAGAGCGTGTCGTTCCACATCAGCTGAAACATGCCCTCGCTCCGGATTCTGGCGGCAGCGGCCCATTGTGCGGCGCCGGTCTTGTTGCCGGTCGTCTGCAGGAAGCCACCAATGGTGACCTCATTCCAGTACAGGATCGAGTTGAGGTCGACGGGTAGCATGTTGTTGATGTTGAGCGAGCGCAGTGGGAAATAGGTGTCTGTGGCCGAGTCGTTAGGCCGTGCCAGCCAGCGCGTGCCATAGTCCCAGCCCGACTCAGCGCCGCTGGCCAGCTGAGCATACAGAGCCGCCTTCTGTGACGAGTTCAGAGGTGTGGCCTCCGGGTACACAGAGCCATTAGCGGCGTAGTACGACTTGTTGTTGGCGGAGACGTAGTCCTCAAGGTAGGACTCGGGCCGCGGCTGGTTGTTCAGCACCGAGTAGCTTAATTGGATTAGCTGTTGTGATGCGCAATGGGCAAGAGCGTTATGGGGAGCGGTCAAAGGTACGTACCGGTTCAGCGTATAGGTCTTGTTATTCGGCGCCGTAACCGAGACGGAGCGATTGGTGGTCCAGAATTCGTGCTCCTTGATCAGCAAGGGCACAGCGCGCTTGAGAATGCTTGTGTCGTTGGTGTGCTCAATGTAGATTCGGATCATCTGGGACAGCAAAGGCGGCTGGGAGCGGTTGAGGTAGTAGACGCGGGCGCCATTGGGCACGAAGCCGTAGAGGTCGACAAAGTCGAGGAAGTTTTCAATGGTGTTGAGTGTGATGTTGACAAAGCTGCCGCCGGTGCGCAGCAGGCCCTCGACGATCCAGTACGAGTCCCAGTAGTAGGGCTCGCGGAAGCGGCCACCGGCCACGACAAAGGTGCGGTTGACGGGCACGAAGCTGGACTGGCAGCCGGCGCAGCTCGTGTTGCCGGTCTTGCCGGTGTACTGGCGGGTCAGGTCAGGCCAGATGTCAATGACCTTTTGGACGAACTGGTTGATCACGGTGTCGTTAATCTTGTGCAAAAACGTCGCGTTGGTGGTCAGCTCGTCCGTTGGAACACTCTCGAGCTCGCCGCCGGCCGGGGCAAAGTAGGTGCCGAGGAAGTCGTTGAGCTCCGTGTTGTTGCTCAGCGGCTTGGTGAGGTTGTTGAATGCTGCCACGACCTCATCCAGCGGGCGCACCGTGGGCCTGCATATATTAGTGTCGGCTTACTTACTTTCCTTTTTGTCAGTCCGGACGTTCACGTACATGTCCACAAAAGTCTTGGAGTCCGAGAAGGGTGCCGCAAGCTCGATGCCCTTTAGTATTTCGCCGTAGCAGTAGAGGGTTGAATTGCAGGGCGCAATGACTGTTCCATTGTTGAAGAGGGCCGTGGCCGGGTGACCCAAAAAGAGCAGCGCTCCGGCGACGAGGGCAGTGGTGGTTCTCAAAGCAGAGGAGACCATGCCGCGGGGGACGAGACCGGCGGCCGCCATGGGGACAAGGCGTGGGTATCGGGGTGTAGAAGAAAGATGCTGCAAATCAGATGATGTTGATGCCGGAGCGACAGAGAAAAGAAAATATGGGTCGTCGCCAAGATAGCACGACACTTTCCTACAGCAATTGACTTTGGGGAAAGAGCAACAGGGCAAGCTGCGGTGGATGTGAAGGAGCTACGTGAGCTTGGGGGAAGCTTGAAGAGCTTCTTGCAGAGCGGGAAGGAACGTTCTTACTCAATGTATATATACCAATCGTGGCCGTTCTTGGTCCTGCTTGGTAAGGGCGGGCGCAACAACAAAGGAAGGCGCGGTCCAAGTACACAGAACAAAGGCAATAAGCGCCACTGTCAAAAAATGCTGCAACTGGTCTCTCCCAATAGTCAGGAACAGAACCACGCAGAAAACAGGAGTTGTAGGCGAGCTGGGGCGTTATGCCGTCAGAACCTTTTCGTCCCGTCAAGTTGCGATCGCTAGACATTACGGATTTCTGGGGTTGCTTCCGTTGGTTGCATCCAAGGCCGGTGAAGGGCCGCGTGCGAGACGGTGGGCTCTCTGAGGGTGTGTCTAGATGTACACTGCGCTAGCATGCATGTCCATTTCCGTGGGTAAAAGCTGCATATTGCTCTGCGTGGTTGCATATACGGCATACTCCGCATGGGAGCTGCGAACATGCAATGCTCCGCAGCCATCGTGTCGTCTCACTCTTCGTTTATCCTACGTGGTGTACTTTTGCTGGAAGCAACAAAGAGGAAGGTGCGCCGGCAGAACGTATGCAATGTGGGGCAACGCAGGCGGCTTCCTTCGGATGGGTCAAGGGACCGGCGGGAGGAAGGTACAAGGGCCACGTCTTTCGTCCTGTAGATGCCATTTGTCGTCTTCATTGAGACTCATTTCCAGTCTCATGATGAGCCGGTGTGTTCGCCTCGCAGACATCCAAGCATCTTGAGACAGCTGGGGAGCAGTCGACGTCGAGCGGCAACTAGAGACAGTCGAGCCAAGTCGATGACGCCCTATCACAAACAGGTCCAATCTTGGCCCTTGGCAAGCAAGCCCATTTCCAACATTTCGATGGCCCTGTGACTTCTAGAAAGGGTCCAATTGCGAAAGGGAAAAGAGCCGTCTTGAATGTCCTTTGACTTGATGGAAGAAGAAAGCTTCCCACTTGTTCTCGTCCGTATTAGTGTGCGTGTGTTGGTCGATCGCCCGCAGACTGTAGATGATGACATTAGCGCAGCTGTTGTTTTCGGCAGCCAAGGTGAAGTTGCTGCTTGAACAGGTTTTTTAGGTGCGCTTCCTTTCTAAGGTTGGTGTCCTTCTCTTGTAAGTGCCTGGACCAGGTCCTAACCACGGCAACCCCGCTGGAAATGGCCCGAAAGCGGGGAAGTTGGGGGTGCGGAAGGGCCGCCGTAGCTCTGCTCCAGTTGGCTGTGACGTCAAGTATCGCCTGCTCTGTTCATTGTGGCTCAATGTCTCAATGTCACAGCGAGTGGACAAATCTCGTTCTTTGTGCATATCCCATGCCAAGGCTGGCCATGGTGCACGTTTCTTGTGCACTTTCTGCAGCCTTTTTGCAGTATTTCGCCGACAAGAGAGCGAGCCCACACGGCGTTCTCCGGCCGTAAGCCGGGGAAATTCATGAGGAAAAGGCATTCATACAGCGGTTTGACACATCGATATGCCATTGTTCACGATGGTGTGACGAGAATTTTAAGTGGTAATCAGTTGTATTGTTTCCAGTGTGCCGGAACATCTTTGGTGTTAATATCGTACAGCTTATAGTAGTTACTTATACAAACAAATCATGGGCTATTTTACATGTCGACACGAAAGAAAAAAACAAACAAAGTGAAACAAAGCTTCGCGTACACTGCATGGGGATATCTCGTGAAAATTGGGGTAAAGACAAAAGAAAACAGAGGTGACTGGGACAACGAGCACAACGAGGGCATAACACAGACAATCCCTTAATATCCCCTCTGAGGTCCCGGGTATGGACCGTAACCTCCATTGAAGTTGCTATTGCCGTTGCCGTAGCCACTAGGGTTGCTGCTGTAGGCCATGTATTGTTGCTGCTGTGGCGGGAATGGCGAATACGAGTTGTTCCGGCGCTGGTAGTTGGGGCCGTTGCCGTTGTAACCTGGCCGGTATCTTTGTTGGCCGTAGGTTTGATTCCGTACTGGCGGCCCACGAGGACCGTTGTACGAGCCGCTGCCGTTGGTGTTGTTGCCGTCGAGGTTGGGCAATGTAGGTTGCCGCATATCAGCGGTGTCTGAACGGCCCATCGGTGCCGCCTCGCCGAGAAGACTCTCGCCGCCCTGGCCGACATCCTGCCGACTGCCACTGTACTGTATCCGCGGCAAGAAATTCCGAGCACTGTTGTTGCCATTGCTGGGTGTGAGGGACCGCGCGTCAGGCGCCGTCGAGGCCAGGCCGATCAATACGGCACCCGACGAAGCAGAGAGTGTGCTGGAAACGGTCGAGGCCTGGCGTGCGGGCGGAAGCCGAGGTACCGACAGGTTGGTTGAGGCGGGCACCGCCGTCGTGTCCACCTTCTTGTCTGAGACGCCCGACAGGCTTTCCGTCTCCTCGTCGATCGGCGACATCCGGCCGCTGCCGCGCTTGTTGGTCTGACCGGCCTGAAGCAGCGAGTTGCGCGCGTCGAGCGGTGTCAGGTTGTCCGTATCGCGTGCCTTTTCGAGCTCCTTGCGTCGCTTGCGGTGTGGGTTTTCCTTGACGCAGGCGACAATGGCATTGAATGCAATGAGAATGGCCAGAATGCCGCTGAGGGCCGACTGCACGGCAATCAGCACGACGCCAGCGACGGTCTGCGTGGTCTCGGCAATGCCAAACTCTTCGACAAACACCATGATGCAGACAACAGAGAGTACGCGCACGACCTGGATCAAAATGTTGACGACATTGCCCGAGCGGCGTTCGTACGGTCGGCTCCACAACAGCATGATGAGCATGACTGCCTCAATGGCCAGCTGGGCAATGCTCTGGGCCATGCCGTGGCCGTCGCCGACAGCAAGCGCAACGCCCTTGGCAAACATGTACAGAATGGCAGGCACAAAGACCCACCAGTACTGGCGACGGTAGGACTCGTAGAACAAGCTGTACTTCCTCCAGATCTTCTTGTCGTCGTACAGGCCAGACGTGTCGCCTTCCTCGTCCGTCAGCTTCTGCGCGGTATACCAAATGCGAAATGAGAAAAAGGCCAGCACGCCGGTAAAGAGGCCGAGTGTGACGCCGGCCAGCACCTTGGCGGCCCACGAATCGCCCTGGGTGAACTGGAACATGCAGTACAGCACCCACACGCCATACAGCAACAGAATGAGAGTGGTGATGGCGCGCGCAATGGAGCGCCAGTAGTGCTGCCGGAAGCCGGCGAGCGACTCTGGGAAGCGTCCAAAGAGGGCCCAGGCCTCAAGCACGACCTTGACCAGCAAGATGCCGACGGTAATAGCGGCAATCACGATGGCCACGATCAGCAGCACTGTCATGAACGTGCTGGCTGACGGGATGCTGAGCTCTTCGACGTACGCACGGAAGCCGCTGACGGCCACGCGCACAGTGTTGGCCGCGCCGCCGCTGTTCGTGTTGGCATCCGTGGCGGCGGCTCCGTCTGAGCTCGTGCCGTTGATACTAGTCGTAATCTCGCGCAGCAGCAAGGCGTGCGTGCGGCGATCCAGCAGGTGGAGCTCGGGGCTCGCCAGGACGCTACGCGCGAAGCGGAAGCTCAGTGATGCCTGGGAGGGTGTCGAGGTCGAGCCGTCTGGGAAAACCAGCGTCGCATTCTGCAGAAACTGGACGCTGTCGTTGGTCAGGTTGCCGCCCGTGGCCACGCGGAAGTTGTCGATGGCGATCTGCAGCTGGGTCCAGGGGATCAGGCCGGTGGAAAAGCCAAAGTTCTTGGCAAAGTTGCGGTACACCGGCGGGTAATTGACCGACATCATGCCGTTCATGGCCATGCCCTGGAACCAGCCAAAAACCTCGCCGAAGCTGGGGCTGATCGTGCCCATGCCGCCGGCCACAGACGATCCGCCGGCTGCCGCTGCACTGCTGCCGCTTGCAATAGCGGCACCGACGGCACCGACACCACTCAGCACAAGCGCGGCTGCTGCAATACCGGCTGCCGCGTACGACACGGCGGGGACGTCTGTCGTCTTGCCGTTGGACACCTGTGACTGGATGCAGGCAACATCTTGGCCCTTGTTGTCACCATCCATGGCCATCAGCTGCAGCGTGGCCTGGGCGGCGATGTCCGGGATCTGGAAGGCGATGGCCGGTACCTGATTGGCAAACTCGGCGGGGATGGCCTGGGACCCACTCGCGGCAAAGCTTCCTGCGGGCACGGGGCAGAGCTGCTCAACGAAGGTGCTCGCGGAGCAGGGGTTGAAGGAGTTGGAATAGACCTGGGCGCCGTAGGCCGTGACGTTGAGAATGGCAGTGACGTTCTGCACCTTGGCGCTGGAGCCGGCGACGTCAAACGTGACGGTCTTGTTGGCGTTGTTGTACTGGATGTCGACCTTCTGGACGGTGACTGTGGTGTCGTTGCTTCCGCAGTTATTGAAGCCGGTCGTCTGGAGAATGTCGGTGGCGGCGGTGGCAGCCGCGTTGAGGCTTACGGAGGCGACCAGGGCCAGCCTGCGCAGGCTTGTCGGCCTGTTTCTTGCCATGTTGGCGCGAATGCACGAAGTATATGGCGAGAAAACCATAAAATGAAGCAAAGTAAAGAGAGGTGCCCGTGTCGTAACAGTCGTATATGTTTTCGTTAGAGCATTGATCGACGAAGTCGAGATTGGATGTGTTGCGAAAATGGGAAAGAGGTATAAGTGAGAACAGACGCCAACAGCTTCGCAGAGGTATAAAACAGTAGAAAATTGCAGAAGCTGGACGAGAAGTGTCGGGGGCAAAATAAACAAAGATCGTGTAAAGGATGTAGACAAAGAAAACACAACAAACGTAGGAAAGTGAACAAAGTCGAATTGGCCAGCCGAATAAAGAAGAAAATCAAAGAGAATGAAGAAGATCGAGGGACGAAGTGAAGGCAATGGAGGCCGAGGGTCAACCTGGAACGAATGGAAGGAAAGAAAAGAAGGAAAGGACGAGATCACGCTGTGCCGTCCATCGACAATAGCGATTGTTCAATGTCTTTGTTGATTTTGTTGAGATGGAGAGAGCGAGGCCGATCGCGAGATGTGGTGCTGCACGCTCCTAACAACATAACAAGACAAAAGAAAAAGAAAAGAAGAACAAGATCATAGGATGAGAGATAAAAGAAAAGCCGGTGGCTTGGACCAGCGACTCAACGGTCGCGAGGACACAGGCAAGCAGTGATCCAAGTTTAGAGTTTGGGTCGGGCCAGGTGAGTCGACAGGGGTTGGCCAATACAACCCTTGGGATGTCGAAACTCTAGCCAGGGTGAAGACGGGATACGTTTGGTGCACTTGTAAGAAGAAGAAGAAGTAAGACAGGAAAGGATGGCCACTCCGCGTGTAGCCTTTCTTTTTTTTCTTTTTTCGCAAATACTTCTCTTACACCAAGCTCAGCCTCTTCTTTCGGCTGGTACGTCTCTTCCGTCCTGGAACCAGTCGACCATCCCGAAAAGATTCTCAGTGACTGACAGAGCAGCATAAGATCCACAGCCAGGAACGACAGATCAGTTTTGCTCTCGCCGTCTCTTGCTGCTCCAAATCTATTGTTCCCGCTTTTTTTGGTCGGGAAGTACCCATTGTCCTTGGTCGATCTGCGGCCTTGACCGGCGTTATGAACGACCACAACCACAGGCAAGCAGCGCCAGCCAAAAGGAGAAGAACATGATATTGCAACACCACTTCACAATTGGCGAGGTTGTGGCTACAGGATTCACCTGTCATCCCCAACTGCCATTCGTATACGTGCAGGCTTCGCTGACTAGTGGCAATAGAGACCGCCTTTACCCTGGTCATGTAATCTGGAGGTGCCAGTCGCTGGCTGTTCGTTTTTCCAAGGATCTGAGCGGCGTTTGAAGTTGGGCAAAGAGCGGAAGGCCAGCATTTCGCACAAAGGACAATATGGGAACAGAAAGGGGACAAAAGGAGAACAAAGGGAACAGCAGCTGCAGGACCTGGCTGCGTGCAAGCGCTCGTGCGGTGTCGTGGGCTTTGCAAGTTCTGAAACGCGCAGGGGTTTGGAAAGAGAACAAAACAGAGTCTTGTCTGTGGCGGCTGAAGGCTTGGATATGGCGTTTGGAGTTGAGGGGCCAGGAGCAGGTGCGTGCTGTGGTTGGACGGGGCTGTAAGTTGCCAAGGGGGGAAAGAGCCCCTGGTACCCACTACTGACGACACTTCCTTCCCCTAATGCCGCTTCGTTGGACAACATTCTCCCAGAAAGGGCAACCACTCGAAAGAGTCTCTTACTTTGGTTGGTCATTGTCGACTTCATCCTCTCTCTTATGGATTTTCACATCTTTTGCGTGAAAGCACGCGCCGGCGATCTTCACCCGGCCTTCAGTTAAGGCCGGGTCTCTTGATCACGGGCCTGTTTTCGTATCTAATATTTCCCACCGTCTTTTGTGTCTGCTGGGCACGACCGAGATGAAAATAGATCTGGAGAACACATACTGGAAAAAGAAAATTGATCAGAAAGATCAGATCCGAATTTTGACGCCAGAGAACAACGGCACAAAGGCCACTGCACCTTCGCCCTCGCCCCCACCGCTCTGCACCCACGGTCCTCCCAGCCTGTCCATCACAGCCCCTGGATTGTCTCCTCTCGGTTCGGGACAAGGGTGTGAGAACAGTCTCCTCCCAAAGCTGCAACAAAGCATAAAACCCAGGAGCCTGGGTCGTCGCCTTCGTGGGGTATAATACGACGTCGTACAATCCCCTACAAACTGGGAGCGAGTGACTTGGATACAAAGGCCCATCGACAAGTATCTCAAAGAGATACCACGCCCATGTCTTTGTGTCTGCTTTTTCGACGACTCCACAGCCTCTCGGCAGAACAATGCGTGCTTCAGATTGTGCGTTCACCTCCGGTTGCCCAGTATCGGCGCCTGTGCCCCTGCATCTTCCCGTATTCTCATACTTTGCCAACGACCGCACCGTCGATCGGCACACCTCGCTTCGTCTTTCTCAGGACGTTTGTATTCTTTCTTTCCATGCACACTTCTACGCTCTTTCCTTTCCCTTTCGTTCGGCGTTCGCTCGCATCCACGGCAAGCGATCCGCATGGCACACGAACGCTCTTGCCGAAGTGCAGATCAGGTGGTCAAATGCGGCGAGAATACTACGAGAGAATAGGCAGAGTAAAGCAGGAACGATCGAATATCCTCCCATTTCAGATAGGCAACGGCTGTCGACACGAACCATTAGTTGTCGACGTTGATGGAAGGAAGATCCGCAGTATAATCGCACAGATTCGAACACGACCTTGGAGCTGTTGCACTAGCGTGGGTTGCATTTTGAGAACTCCAGAGCCATGGAGAGTTTGGCTGCTCATATATAATTATAAATACGAGGCAACCTACGTAACAAGCAACGTAATGGGATCGTGGCGCAGTTGGCTAGCGCGTAGGTCTCATAGCGATATGAGCCTTATCCAAGATAGGCATATCCTAAGGTCGTGAGTTCGAGCCTCACCGATCCCAAGTTGTTTTTTTGCTGTTTGGGCCTTTTTTTTTTTTTTTTTTCAAACCACTTCCATTCTTTTTATAAGAAAAATATCGCCACACTTTTCTTTGCCAATCGATACTATACTTCAGTGCCTAAACCGAATTCAGTCTCCTGCCTTGTCCTGTCGACCGTCGAACCTAGTAATTCCGTTAACGGCAAAAAGCAGAATCGTCCCAACTCAGCCTCGACGCATTAAGTCGGAGGACCAGGGGTGTTGGGACTGGTCCATGGGGTGATGGACCAGACGGTGTGTTGACCCCTCTCTTTTTATTCGTCACTGCAATGCATATCTTAATCGATGAGATAATAACTTCTCAGGAACCCGGTACGATGTGGACACCCAATGATGAAGTGTGGAAGGTTTCCAACCCTCAATGCAAGTATTCGAAACCCAAAGATGCCAAAGAAGGTGATTTAGGTTTTGAAATTGGTATAAAATCCAAAAGAAGTCTATGGTCATAAAGGGGAAGGCGGTTCAAGCTGCATGGCAAGGCCCAGCTGCATTTAAAAAGATAAAGAAACAGAAAGAGCAAAATCGCAGAGACAATTAATAACTGCAAAATACAAAATCATATCCTTTCATATTTGATCGTATGCGAGTCATTTTGCGCCAAAAAAGAAGATGATGAAATCAAAAAGAAGACGAAAGAAAGAAAATAGCAGGCGTCAGCTGGTTGTGGTATTCGTGCAACCCAGGCGTCAAACCAAAGTAGAGGCACAGGGCAAATGATATGTATATAGAAGCAAAAGGCAAAATCTGGTAAGAGAAGAGATGAAAAGAGAAAAGGAAAAAAAAAAAAACCAACCAGATAAGTCACAAGTACGTTACACACCAGCTACTGGCCGTAGAACTGGCCTTGTGGCTGGTGCGGTGAGTGATGAAATGGTGACACCGAGCCCTGAGGAGTATAGTGTTCGCCGCTGCCGACGGACGGATCAATTGAAGCATCGTACTGCAGCTGGCCACCGGCAATGGGCGCATGCAGGCCGAGCGCGTTGGCATCGGAGAACGTCGAGAATCCCGACGAGTCGACCATGCTAACCGGATCCGCAATGTACTGGTTGCCGGCCGGGTCCAGGTAGCCACCAGTTGTGACGGGGAGTTGACCGCCATAGGACTGCGCACCTGAAAAGCCGGGCTGCATGTCCAGAGTTGCGGCGTCCAAGCTCTGCATCTGCGATGGAAGGACACCCGCAGCAACGAACTGCTGTGGCGTCTGGCCGTAGTACGCTGGTTGCTGATACTGCACCTGGGTGACGGCGGGGTACATGTACGCGTTGGGGTCGTGGGCGCTAGGCTGGCCAAAGCCACCAAGCTGCTGGCCCAGGTGGTGGTGGTGTAGGCCCGCACCGTGTACCAGGCCCGTCGCCATCATGTTGGGCGAGAGACGCGAGAGCTCACCTTGGTGAGCATCGGCTGTTGTGGGATATGCCACGGCTGGTGCGAAGGTCCGGGGTGGCGGATCTTGCACAGGGCTGATGAGCGTGTCTGCCTCCACCTCCTTGCGCTCCACGAGACGCAGGAGCGGTAAGCTGATATGCTCCATGTGCTTGGCCAGGTGTACCGTCAGCTTCTTCCAGGTGGGGAATGTTTTGGCGCAGAAGCGGCAGGGTTCGTCCTGGGGCCGCGCCGTGGTCTCGGCATGGCACTGTTCGACGCGTTGCCAAGTTGGGTCAGGCGCGCCGGATTTCTTGATCGCAGCCTTGGTCTTGTGCTTGGGCTCGTTGAACTTGTGCTCGCGAACGAGGTGCTGCAAAAAGTTATCGCGACGGTAGCATGTATGCCGGCACTCTTCCACGTCGCAAGTCCACCACTCCAGATGGCGATGACCCTCGTTCTCGTGGCGCACCCAGTCGGCTTTTCTCTTGAAGATTTTGGGGTCGCGGCACCTGTCCCACGTGCATGTGAATGGTTGTACGTCTTCGTGCACGTGCTTCGTCCAATCCGAAGGCTTCTGGACACGTCTGTTCTGGAAGCAAAGTTGGCACTCGAATTCGGCTGGCAGGGTGGTCGTTGGTGG